TTTCCTACTAACACGATGTACTCAAACACAAAGTAATGTATTCTCAACTTCACATATGTCCGAATTTAATGAAAGACAAAACAATGATTGTATAGGTGTGATAGAGAGAATACCAAATGCAACAGTAGATCAACTTTAAAGATGCATTACACAAAAAATCTTCAAGATAGCTAAACAATAGCTTAAATTTAAAAAAATGCACTTCTCCACATTTTGAAAGCATAGGCCGAGAGGAACAAGTAGCCTGGGAGCAACAAATAATCTTTTTCACTAATGAACATCAAATAACTTTTCAAGAAAACAACAAATAACCTTTTTTTTTAAATAAAAGTCACTGCCAAATCCGAGATCAAGAGTATTATTATAGAGAAGAAGATCGAATATATCATAATTTGATTTTGGGAAGACTGATACAAGAATGAGTAGCACTGATATATATAGATTTCGAAGCATAGCCCATAACATTTTAATACCATTATATTTGCATTTCAACCATCTCATGAAATGGCTCCATAGCACCCGAAAAACATCCCAATGTATCCAACATTTAAATGCACTTCTCCACAAATCATAGTAGTGGTAAGAAATGCATAGTAATGTACTAAAAAAGTTTCTTCATCTGTAGATCAACTATGAGAAGAGGAAAGGGAGGAGCAGAGACGCAAGGGAGACTCGGGAGAGAGTGTTCGAGATGCATATAGCTTGATTCATATGGGAGAAGAGGAAAGGGAAGAGCAGTGGAGCAGAGCTTCTCTTTTTCGCACGAGGGGACGCCAAAGAGGACGTTTAGGGCAAAAGTGTCGCGAGGGTAAAGGTAAGAAATATTAGAGACGAACACGGGGCTGCGGGCTTGATCCTGCGGCCGGCTTCTTGAAAGCTTCAACATACCGCCCCCGCAAAGTTACAAAACAAACATGAGTAATAAAATGCACGAAGCGGTTTGGTGCCGCGCCGCGCAAAAAAACACTGCCCCAAACATACCCTAATCTTTTTAAAAACCGACTTCCTCATAAAGCTCATCTAGTAACTCATTAATCACTGGAATAGAGAACTTATTCAACACCGTCTCTTTATTTAAAGCTCAGTGGTTCACGCAGAATCCTTAACAACCATTTTTTTTCTTCACCAACAGGACTGGACTGAAAAAATGGCTCATAATTGGTATGACAATCTTGGTCTTAAGCATCTCTTAGATTAACTTCTTTATCTCAACCTTGTAAGTCTGAGGGTACTTGTATGGTCAGACACTAATAGGAGGAACACTCTCCTTTATTGTAATAGCGTGCTCGTGCTACCTCAGGGGCGGTAACTCGCTTGGCTATTGAAAGACGTCTGTAAACTACTGTAGGAGTTGTTGGCCCCCTTCAGGAAACTCTGCCAACTCTGGATCTTAAGTCACCTCAATGCTCCGCAACTCCACCCAATTAGCGTAGCCCCGCTCCTCATATTGACTTGGTCATGGTTTTGAGCGACATCATAGTTTTGCATAAACTAGCATCTCTCAACATCACCTTCATATCCTCCACTTGGAACTCCATCGTCAGGGACTTCCAATCTACCTTCATCTTCGTAAGCATCCGCAATCATTTCATCCCCAAAATCACATTTGTGCTGCCCAAATCCAAAGGAATGAAGTCCTCTACCAACTGTAGGCCATGTAGCGTCAGAATCAACCCTTGAAAATTCCCTGACTTTTCTCTACCTTCCCTGTCCCCATCATGCCATCAAATCTCCCTATAGTCACCGGCCCCAACCCTATCTTCTCCACGATTTGATTTGAGATAAAATTATGGGTGGCTCTGCTATCTACTGACATCACAATTGACTATTCCTTGATCCACCCCCTCACATTCATTGTGTGATTCGGGGTAAATTCTACAACCAAATTTAGGGATACCTCTACTACATTCAAATACAGACGCTACTCCATTATTTACTCTGATTCCTCACTATTGGTCTCCTCCTGAACTAAAAACATCTAAAGGGAACGCTCCTTGCAACGATAGTCTGCGGCATATTTTTCATCACAGAGGTGACATAATTCTTTTGTTCTTTTATCCTGTACTTTTGCTTCAATGAGACACTTAAAATTGCTCCCGGGATTGCTCTCTGTATTCTTTTTCTTCAGCGTTTCTTTCTGAAATGATACCATCCAGGTCCTTGATGTTGTAGTTGTCAAGGCGCTCTTTTAAAATCCTCCAATGTTGTCTTCTTTACCGGTCTTCTTCACTTATTTCTTATCCTCAATCATCTGGGCGAGCTCCATCATTTTTCTTAATCCACAGTCTCAAGGAGATGGCTGCTTTTTGTCGAGCTTTGGGCCTTTCAAGAAGATCCCTTTTAGTTCTGTTTTAGAAATATCCCTCAACCTCCCCGACTAGAGATCAAACCTCTCTCTGTATTCCGTAACCATCCCCTTCTAAGTCAGGGCATAGAGTTGCTCATGTAGTTTTTCTTTTCGAATGGCTCGAAGACACTCCAACAAACAATCCTTAAAGCCCCTCCCATGAGTGCATTAGATATATTGTCTTCATCCGTTGAAACCACGCTAAATTCTTTCCCTCCAAACATAACCTCAATGCCATGAGCTTCTTTTCCTTAGTTAACCCATTGACCGCAAAGTATCGATCCACTCGATACACCCACCCATGTGCATCTTCTCTTTCGTAGATTGACATCTTCAGTTTTATAACCCTTGTATGTCCACCTCAACTTTCTCTTCCTTTGGTTTTTTTTCTATGTATCTAGGGTGAAACTCCCTTCTTCGGTCATAGGCATACCCAACTCTAGATTCCCCCTTCCTACTTCATGCTCTTCCGTGCCCCTTACACCACCCCTCCATCGGAAGCCTCCACTCCCCCTCCTCTCAGAGTTCGGGAGGGGGGGATGGGAAGTTGCCTATCTTGGTGGTAGATGATGTCTTCCTCATTATCCTCTCATTTGGTCTCCTTCCGTTTTGACCTGGTCAAAGATTCTCTGATCAACCCTTTGTTAGGGTTTGCAACTGAAAGGATTGGCATGTTCTTTGACTGCATCTCCATGAGCTTTTTCATACTCTCTCGCATTTCTCCTGCGCTCTCAAATCCATCCTCCATTAGACTTTCTGTGGAAGAAAACCTGTCCTCCATTGTGGTGAACTTTTCTTCCATTACGGATTTAATTTTCCCTACCTCTTCTTCCAGCACATTTACTATCTTTATCGCCATCCCTCCAAGATCTATTTTCTGTACCAATTTGATTCTTTGCGTAACCAAAATTAATGGCCAACTACAACGAAATTGAAATAAGTAGATGAAGAAAACTCAAACGGGGGCTGCCCTCACGAAATTCAAAAGAAAATAAGAAGATACAAGATGATTTACTGTTCGAGACGTAGATGGTATCTCCTATAGCCCTGGATGTCGCAAGTAACACCATGCAAAGAAGGAAGAAATCTGCAACTAGCATCAAACACGAAAAAAAAAAAGAACCTAAGTTATCTCCCCCATATAACCCTCTCCAAAAAACTATTCCAACTTTCTGCCCCAATCATCCTTAATTTCTCCTCATTGAGTATGCAATTAAAGCCCTCGTGGACCTGACCTGCTTCCTAATTTTGTCTGCCGCAGCAACCTGCTGTCCGCCTCTTCTCGCTAAATCGTTCAGCCCGCCTGCTGTTGTGGTGGGCTGGTTGGCTGGCTCTCGACCTGTCCCTCCTAGACCAGTTCATATACGGGCATAACAGATTGACTTACATCTTCTTATTAGGGCCTTCAATACTTTTTGAACTTTTTAGAAAGCACATGCAAATCGGATTTGTGAGTCCAGCCTTTTTTGCAATCAAATTGGATCAAACTATAACATATCAAAATATATATTTCAAAAAGGGCCTCTCCGTAGAACTGAGCATGCTTCCTTGATTGATATGTATGATTCAAGTCCAAATTTTAAAGGAGGATTTTTATATAAACCATACATTTCATATGTATTTATATATCTAACATCCAAAATATTGATATTTAGTTTTACAACACCCAAATCCTTAAAATCACATTAAAAGTAATACAAAGATCAATTTTTTTACGGGAAAATTTTCATTCATATGTTTTGATGGAATTATGATACAAGTATTATATAATTACATATAAAAGCTTAGGTCTTAGATATGTAACAAGGTAAGAATTTGTGATATATATGTAAATCCCCCTTTGAAAATTTTCATTTTATGAAAATCTTTTTTTTTATTATTTGAGATTCAGCTTTGCAGTTGTTTTGTCTGATTCATCCATGGTAGTTGAAAATCACTTCTTTTGGCATTTTCACGTGCAGGATATTTAGCTTGATGCCAGTATGAGAATTATTTTCTGATATTGTAGTTGAACTACCATTTCGTAGATATAATGAAACAGACATGTTATTTTTGTTTTTTTGCAAATTATAATGTATATTTACTTAAAAAATACATCATTATGTGAACATTATTTATGCCAAATCAAACTTTTTTGTGTACCTTTTGACTAATGTGCTTTGACAAAGAGATATGCTTTTTTTCCCTACTCTATATTTTATTTTGTAATTATTGTAACTGCATGCTGCATATAGATTTTGAGAAAAGTGTCAAAATAGTCCCCGACTCTTTGCAGGTGGTCATTATAGTCCAATGTTTATAAAAATGTCAGTTTAGTCCTTTTAATATGGGCTAAAATATTCTTCTTGGAGGACTATTTCAACTTCAATTTAAAGAGTATGGGAATTAATTTGATACTTATCTAAACTATGGGACTAAAATGACCTTATCTAAATAGCCAGGAAACTATTTCGACACTTCATAAATTTTTGTTTGTGGAGCAGCATGTAGTTTGTCATCATGTCACCAAATTATTATTTCTCCTTTATGTAATTATCATGGCACAGCAATTGTCTTCTCTTGTTGTTTTAACAAACTCCATCGTTTAGATATCCTCCTGATGTTGTGTCCAACTGACAAATTTGTGGTCATTTACTTTATCTTTATTGACTAGATTGAACTTGCAAAGAAACTGTTGCATGAAGGACAGAGTCATCTCTTTGCTAATTGGGCAGAGCAAGGTGTTGAAGATGAAAAGAAAGCACACTTTTTTAACCAGGTTAATCTGTTTGGATCTTTTAATGAACAATGCTGTTATTGAGAAGTTATACTTCATAATACGGATAGATGATTGATCTTTACTAAAGACTATGGCTTCTTCCAGCAGTGTCATTGTTTATTGCCATTTTTACTTCTTACGCCTTTGCATTGGATGTTGTCTGATTAGCTGTGAAGTTTTCTTAGTACCTTACAAATTTGTTTAAACCGTAGCGTTATGCAATAGGATGTAGCACATCACCAACAACAACAATCAGCCTCTGTCCCACTAAGTTGGGTTGGTTACATTAATCATTTTTCTCTATTGTGTCCTATTGAGTTTCAATAGGATGTAGCACATGTTGTAAAAAATTATAACTCTGTACAAGGATTTATGATGGGAAAAATTTTCTCGACACAGTATTATTTTGTTCCATTTACAGTATCTTTCATATGAAACTTGTTTGAAAACTCATCCTTGAAATGCCATTTGTTTCTATCTACATGAGAAAGAAGAAAGTTATATTCTCTTTAGGTATTTGTATTGTTTCATAAACTGAAATTCTGTAAGTTACATAAGAAGAAAAATCTGCTTAATTCTAGTTATTCTTTGAAATACTAGGGAGGTTGTTTTTTTTCCTTATTGCTATTATTGTAATCTCTTTATCAGTATAGAACTCAAATATAATAATGTGTACATCCTTTTACGAGAGCTTTATGCTGGTGCCTTCACTCCGGTGATTATTGTGATCTCTGTTAGCTTGTTGACTGCAACTTTTTTATGCATTGTCATATTTATTTTGATAAATCTATATTTACCATCTTTTATTTTTATCTATAGGTGTCACGGTTGAATGCAAATTATCCTGGAGGTCTGGCAGTGTATATTCAAAATGCAAGGCAACTATTAACGGATTCAAAAGTGGGGAGAAATCCATTTGAGGGCTTCACACCATCTGTAAAAAAATTTAGAACATTTCTTTCTCTATAATTCGTGCAGTTTAGCACCTTTGCTCATTATAATTTGCATTGCGTAGTTTCTTTCCCTTTTTATCAAAGCATTTTTAGGTATGTTATGTAAATTTTGGTAATTTAAGTTGCTTGGAGGTCATTTGTAAAGTAACTTGAAACAATGATTATCTCTTTTGTGACCTAGCGGTGATGGGCTCGAGTCATAAGCGTAGTGTTAAATATTGATAAAATTTTGAGAAAAAATCAAATAAAGTGCAATAATCACACCAAACATCTCAAATATAAATCAGATGAGCTTATATGGTTTGATGATATTTATCTATTTCCATGGCCGCACAGAGACTAAATATTTTGATAATCTCTAAAAGTGGTAGATGGAGAGGGATTAGAGTTCACACGAATAAAGTCTAAAATTCTACTTTATCCATCTTATGAAGTAAGAGGAAACACAGCCACTTGTTGTGATGACGAGAATTGGACATAGAGAATGAGATGTTGATTCTGCTGCTCTTTCTACCTTCTTTTATGTATTGCGAGAGCTTCTTCATTTATTCTCTTGTATCTTTCTCTTCTCTGATTTGTATTTGCTTGCTATTGTTTACAAAATGTAACTATCTCTTATATAGTGCTTAAGACATGGTCGGTAGCAAGATTGAATTTAATGAATCTTGTGCGTTTGCTAGCCACCACGTTTGAAGATGAGGTGTGAATGAATCTTTAGTTGGTAGCCACCAATCTTGAAGTAAAGACCAAATCTTATCTGGAATAGTTAATGATGAAATCCATATGTAAAATTCAGTTTCTCTGTGCTTAGGAATAAGCCTGGGTACTTCTATGCTACATATGGTACAGGTCTTTGGAGGGATAGAAACTTTCGCACCTCTTATCTTGAATGTTTTTCATGCATTGGGTTTCTTCATTTTTTATGCAATGGTTTGTAGGTCATAATTTAATCAATTCGGCTATTCTTGCTTTAAATTATCTTAATTAGCGTTTATTCACCGATTAACATTATTGACAAGTTAGATCTGCAGATTTGAATTTTATGACGAAGCACTCCTGCAGGTTCCATCAGGAGAAATTCTGACCTTTGGTGATGATAATTTCATCAAGTTCGAAGAGGTAGGTGTTGAAGAAGCACGGAAAGCAGCATTTGTTCTTGTTGCTGGAGGCCTTGGAGAACGCCTTGGCTACAACGGAATCAAGGTATATGAGATTTGTGGGTTGGATGTGAAGTTCTCTCATTGTTATTTATTTTACCTGTAAAATGTGAATGTTGGTTGTTTTAAGATGCTCTTTAAGTTTATTTAGGAGGATAATAATTTTAGCATTATTGCTTATTAGGGATTTGCTTGACAGGTGGCACTTCCTTCTGAGACCACAACTGGAACATGCTTCTTACAAAATTATATACTTTGCATCCTTGCTCTACAAGAGGCTAGCCGCAAACTCTCAGAAGGTCCGCAAAAGTGCTTTCACCTTTTTGTTTTTGTTGTTGAAAGTCATTAACACCGTAACTAATCTTTCAACTTCTGTGGATTTAATGCGCTGCTTTCCTTTTTGGACATTTTCTTTTTGTTCTTGTTTGTTTGCTTTGTGTTATGAAAACTATGTTCAAGTCTTTTTGCATTCAGCAATAAACTAAATTGCAGTTTTTATATATATAAATGTGAGTGTGCGTGTGTATATATATATAT